GATGCTCAGGATGAAATTATCTTTTGAAACAGTGGAAAAGTTAGAGCAAACAAAACCTACCTTGTTTATAATTTCTTGATTGCTCGAATCTTTCTTTTCCTCTGGAATTGTTACAAGGAACTTAGAGACATCCACAACCTCAAAATGAGTTGGAAGTTGTCCAATGGATGGTACAAATGTAAAGGTCAATGGTTTGGTTCCAAATTCTTGAGAAGTGACCTACAAAACACATAATCAGTTCAACTTTTTATCCAAATAAAGATTATTTCTGTCAGAGTGAAAATAACCTGAATTAATTATTCTACATAACTTAAAAATCTATTATTAAACACACCAGACTTTTTTTAGGGTCATTGTATATTTAGTTTTTCTTTAACAGATAGAATACTGCCTTGATTATATCAATATCCTGTATATTCTAGTAGCATGGCACAGTAGACAGGAGAAGATTTGTTCAACAATTTGTTATATTTTCCATTTTTGAAACCAAGATCAAAAAAACGTATTCAATTCATTTCAAGGATGTTTTTATCTTTGTTTAGCTCCACTTTAGTAGAACAACAATATAATCATACCACTGAATCTGGACATGTTATAGTCCCTAGAGTATTTGCTTAACAGCTTAAAACAAATTGGAAAAACCTTTGCTCTGCAAAAAGAAAGCAAAACATGTTTACATATTCTATTGCAAATGTAGCTAATTCTGAACACTAGAGATGAATTCTGACTCAAGGAAAGGATTTTCTCCCATTTACTTTGGGCCATTCAGCCACATATACCAACTGTGCCTGTCTTCTCATATATCCCTCCACGACTTGCCTTCTTGCTAGCACGATTTACACAGAGACTGAATGCACTGAAGAGAAGAGAAACTAAGAGAAGGCAAATTCACCTAGATGTTCAATTATATGACAATGCTCCCCCATTATTTCCATCTCCTTCACGGGAGATACTGGACAGGCAAAAGAAGTCCACATCATAGTGATACTCTCAGTTGCTTCACCAGATGTCAGGAAGAAGAACTCCAAAGGCCTTGGCAAGGTAAGTAGAGGGAACCACATCCCAAACTACCGAACCTGATATGCTGACTTTACCACTACTTGTTGGTGTAGAAAATCCTTCTTTCTGATTCCAAACTATGGAATATATAGATTTTCACTTGTTTTATCATGGTATTTAAAGCTTATGGCAGTTAATTATGTTTTCAATGAACTCTGAAATGCAGAAACTTGAACTGTACTTAATCATAGAGAAAAATAGGATCATTGCTTTGACTTCCTTTTTTTTGCTTACTTGTTTAAAGTGAAACAAATTGGAGAGATATGCCTTTCATTATGCTTCTTTGTAATTTGCATCCATAAGTAAATAGCAATTACATATCTGAGTGGGACTACGGAATACATTCACATGGCTCAATTTTCTTGTGGCTAGAACATTAAAAATGATAGACACAGATTTTCAGTTTTAAAAAAATCTAAGCAAATACTAGTTACTTCCACTGACAGCTGTCTTCTGGAAGGCTTAAGCAAAACAGAGGCAAATTATCATAGAATCATAGAATGGCATAGG